CTACGGAAACCTTTCTCATGGTGACTGACACCTGTCATCCCCGAATCCTCAGTGGAGGTGGCGCGTGCCTTTTTACGTAGTAGTGGAACTGTTTGGCATAAGGCCTTGTTCACACCAAATGCAGAGCAGATCCGGTCAGGTTTCTGCACACGCAGTGCAGTGGGTTGTGCCGCGTTTCTGATGCGCTTTTGCCGTGTTTTTGATGCGTTCCGGGCCATTTTTGGTTAAGTTTAACATGGGCTTTTAGGCACTTGCATGCGTTTATGATGCGTTTTGCATGCGTTTTTGATGCGTTCCAAAGCAGATCCAGAGCAGGTAAAATAGGGCTTGCCGCCGTTTTTTCACCTGCTCTGGATCCGCAAGCTGCGATGTGAACTGGAGCTCAAAATATCATAGGAATACATTGGACGCAGTTTTGATCCGGTCTGCACCTGCTCTGCTCTGGATCTGCTCCGCGCTTGGTGTGAACCAAAATACCATAGGAATACATTGTACCATGGGATATACATTGCGCTTGGTGTGAAGAGTGGCGCCATTCGTTTCAAAGTATCCATTCCAACCATTTCAAGTAACAATTTGGATAAAAAGTTTCCTCAAAAAGTAGCATGCGATCTGGTCTCCGCGTGTCAGATGACAGCAGTATATAATGGGGGGGGGACTTACTGGTTACTCTTCTGACTTGTGAGCGTACATTGTCTGATTGGAGAAGAAAGTCAGATACTGAAGACGTGAGCTGCACCACGGCGACCAATTACTGGCAACCTAAAAATGGAAAGATCAAGCCAGAAATAAGTCCATTCGTTTGGTAATAAATCCTTGGAGGCAAAAAAGGAAGTGACAGTTATTAGCCCACAAAAAATGACAGTTAACTTATCATAGCTGTATATATATATATACTGTATATGCATAAAACTGCAGATGAGGATGGCGCCTGCCCGTGCGCTTATAAATGGATGCACATAAGTAGCAGGGATCCTGATGTATATACTAGGCTGCGTATGAGAGGGAATGGGGTGTGCATACCTGGCTCTTCATGGGAGGAGCTTCCATATGATCCTTATGGCTATAAAGGGCTAAAGGGACAGGCTGGAGTGTATACAGGGCTGCTTATGGAGGGGGTGGCTACTGGTAAATATGAGGTGGGAGGGGCTCTTGATGTATTTACATGGCGGTGTATGAACAGGGGTCTAGTATGTGAACACTGGGGCCAATTTATAATACATATTTAGATATATACTAGGCTGCATATGAGAGGGAAGGTGGTGTGTATACCTGGCTCTTCATGGGAGGAGCTTCCATATGGTCCTTATGGCTAGAAAGGTCTGAAGGGGCAAGCTGGAGTATCTACAGGGCTGCATATGGGGGATGGGGGTGTCTACTGGTACAAATGAGGTGGGAGGGGCTTTTGTTGTATTTGCACGGCGGTGTATGAACAGGTGTCTGGTATGTGATCACTTAATAGTTACACTGGGGCCAAATTATAAATATATATTTAGATACAGTATATATATATATATATATACTTCACCAGCCCTGCCCCATATCCAGCCATGTGCATACACCAGAGCCTTCATGTGCAGCCATGCACAGCGGCCTCATGAGGCCCCTCCATATCCGGTAAGCGCCCCCACCTCCCCAGTATCAGCCTGGCTTTGCCTCGGCAGTGACGGCGCAGGGTTGTGGATTGCCTGAGATCACCGCAGCAGACAGGACAGTCTCCTGGGTTGGGTTGCCACCCGTCCGCGATTCACCAGGACAGTCCTGGTTTGGGATCCTGTGCCCGGCTGTGAGCCCGCCTCAGAGTCCTGGGTCACTTTTAAGAAGCAGACCAGAGCTGATTGAGGTCAATGAGATTGGGTCAGGGGCAGCAGGGAGGTATCATCAGATGAAGCTATATAAGAATGTTCCAGAGATGTCTTCCTATTATCACCCGTCCCTCCTTAGCTATAAACATGCATGGCCAGGCAATCTGAATGTGCATATTTATGGATCTCCCGGCAGTCTGATGGTGCCTGCACATCGAAATCCCCTCTGCTGCCCTTTGACCTTCTCATGGAGACCATCTTTCAGGGATAGATTCTGAGGCCGGCCAGAAACATGTGTTTTTTTCTTGTTCATCCCGGAAACAATCATTTGATTTCCCCCTCCATGCTACACCCCGTGGATGTGGGAATCTCCCCTGCTGCCCATTGTATTCTGACAGCCAGCACCTGCCGCCTCAGCTGTCACTGTACAGCTGCAAATTTCCGCCCCGGCTCATTCAACAAAAGTCAAAGGAAATGCAGAGCCACCCACAGCTGGCATTTCAGGTGAGTCAGCAGAGCTAAATATGATTTGGGCTTCAGAAGGTTCCTGTCCCTTTAAACACTGTTGCATGCAACAGCATTTCTCCCTGGCCAGCTGCGCACAAAGTGGCGGCTGTAATGCCAGGCGCAGATGTGCTGTCAGACCACCGAGCCTCAAGGCGGGCGGCCACGCTCGGTGGAACCTATTCTTCATGTCTGGGTGGGCTCCAACCGTTCATTGTAACAAAGTCAAACTGTCTGCATCCGAATGAGAGAGAGAATCCGGCAATGAGAAGCTGTGACACCCACACAATGGAGGCCAGACATAAACACAGACAAAGAAGGAGCCCGAGGAACCCTCCAACATACACACTGCCATCTGTGCACATTGTGACAAGTGAGGGGAGAGAGAGAGGGGGGGGAGAGAGAGAGAGAGGGGGGAG